CTCTTGTAGTTTTGTCTCCATGCTTGGAAGTAAGTAACTGTCAATGCTAGCTGACTACTGGATTTCACTATCTTCCCTAGAGACATGGATTATTAGGGGCAAATACCTTAGTGTGACATACATAGAGGGCTCATGCAAAAATCTCCAACAAGCTGGATTCTTTGCAAGGGCTTTCTTGCCTCTAGATGGAGGCAGAGGAGCAGGAGGAATCCCTTGAATAAAGACGAAGAAGTAGGAATAAACTTGAAGAGGGGAAAAGCTCTTGATGAAGTAGAGGGTTATTAAGGAGGTAGACCCAGAAAATAACACCGTCCAGGTTAACTAGAGCTCGGTTAGGATCGATGTCAAAAACCAGGAAGAAGAATTCACGCTTTGTCCCAAGATATGTAGGAAGCTTGGTGATCTTGTCAAGGGGAACTGTGGAATTCTTTATTTTGTACTTAAGAAATGGGTAATAAAAATTTAGTTCGGAGTCCAAGAATTTAAATGTTTTTAAGTCGTGCTTATGTTCATAATGAGATTAAAAGACTTTAACAAAAAAAAATAATATAACCAGAATCTAAAATTAAACTGACTACTCATTACTTCCTTTTGAAGATAGAACACTCTCTTACCATCAGCTATGAATTTTTTCCTAATACTTGATTTCCTCTATTCAGACACCCAGATAAACTAAGAACATCTCAGAGGAATTAGTGACTTGAAGTATGCTCTGTAGGCAAAACTGCAGAATAAGCCCCACTTGGACATCATAGAACTGTAGCTTGTGTACATAGAGAAATAATCATTAGAGTCAGTTATCTTTAGATAGACTGATGTTTCAAATTCTAATTACAGAGTTTTTAGCCTCATTAAAACGTGTTTCATTTTAGATCTTGGCTACCACATTTTATTGTTACAATTCATTAAAAATAACGTGAAAAATGAAGATGATCATAAACTTCATCATATAAGCAAAAGAAAAAAATAATGCTTGGGTAATGATAACAACACTTTGTATTTGCTTAGCAAGTTCCTTTTAAGGAGCTCAAAACATTTCACAAACATTATCTCATTAATCCTATGAGTACAGCAACACAAAATAATTTTTCAAATCTCTGAGCTAGGGAAATTGATGCATGGCTACAGTTTGTTTCCAGTGTTGCACATTGAATTGCAAACAAATGAAGTAAGATGTTCAGACTCATTTATTATTATTTTAAAATTTACATACTGTAAAATTGACCCTTTTTTTTTTTGGTCTACATTTCTGTAAGTTTTAACACAGATAGATTAATGTAACTACCACCACACTCAGAATATAGAACAGTTCTAAATCACCCCATAAAACTTCTTCGTGACATTCCTTTGTAGTCATGCTGTCTTCCACATTTCCCCTGACAAACACTATTCTGTTCTCCATCTCTACTGATTTGCCCTTTTCAGAATTACATAGAAGTGGAATCTCAGACAGTGTATGTAACCTTTTGAGGCTGGTTCCTTTCCTTCAGCCTAGTACCTTTGAGATCCATCTGTGTTGTGTGAATCAATAGTTCATACTTTTTTATTGCTGAGTAGTATTCCATTACATGGATATATCCAGTTTGTTTATCCATTCACCTATTACAGGACATTTACATTATTTCTAGTTTGGGTTAATTTTTAATAGAGCTGCTATTACATGTATATATATATATATGTATGCAAAAATATATATATATATATCCACTCATATGTTGATGGACACTTAGGTTGCTTTCATATCTTGGCTATTGTAAATAGTGCTGCTATGAACATTGGGGTGCATGTATCCTTTCAAACTAGTGTTTTCCTTTTTTTCCTGGATATATACCCAGGAGTGGAATTGCTGGATCATATGGTAGTTCTATTTTTATTTTTTTGCTGTCCTCTTTTTCTATTTTCTTTTTTTCTTTATTGTGTTTCATTGCACACAATATTGTACATTTATGGGAGAACATTAAGTGTAACTGCTGTAGCGAAAAGCTTAACTTACTTTACTCTGCGTTTAGAAAGGAGTAAGTATTCGTTGACAAAGAGGTGATATTGCCACTTCTCGGAAGGGCTGAGGAAAAATTTGGGGAGCGAAAACAATTTTAATGTCCCATTGATCCATTAAAAATATGTATGTTTCAGCTAAATTTATTTACACAATCCTCCCTTTCCCCTCAGATTTTTAAACTTGAATATTAAGTGGAAGGGCATATGGAGGGTAGGGGATTTTTACAAGAATCAGCTCCTGCTGAAAAAACAAGTTTTTAAATTAAAACAATCAATAGCTTTCACTTATCCATAAAATTAAAATCCCAACCAAAGCACTAATGTAGTGCCATAAAAAGTGAAATCAATTAAAACAAAAGAAACAATGACAAAAATTAATTCAAGCACAGAGTTGCTGACATGATTTTCTTTCTTCAGTGATTCTTAACATTTCTAAGAAGTATATCGGGCATTTACAATAAAGCTGTGTTTATTATTAAGAGACAAAGGCCTAGAGAAAGGTCCTGAGAGCTGAATTTGACTCTGTCTAAAAGCTGGTAATTACACTTATTTCTTTTCCTTCAAATTTTAGGCTTGGAGGGTAAATAAGTCCCTAATGTGGTAAGTCCCTTAATGAAGAGCCCCAAAGCTACAGTAGCAGGTAAGACCACTGAAGCCAGGCAAGGTCCAAGCCTGGTATTTCTCAGGGGGTTGGAGATCCTTTTGGAGACATAGCACTGTAGTCTGTACCCTTGCAAGACAAAAGAGAATGAAGACAAAAGGGAGGGAAGTGGAGGCAAGTGCATCCCAGCCCGTGTTCACTGTTTTCCTTGTTACTCAACTAGGTGAGTGACAGACAGCTCTTACTCCTTTATCTAATCACCTCAACTAACAGCCTACTAATATTTTTTTCACAAGTATGCTACATAAACATCCATGCCTGGTTCAAAATGCTATCAATCAACTTCTCTGGAGTTTCCCTTATGCATCTAGAATTAGATCTTAATATCAGATAATGTATTGCAACAAACACTGAATGTGTTCTTAGAGAACAGAACTGTCTATGGTGTGGAGATTGTGTTCCTTGTGATAAAGTTTCACAACAACATTTAGTCAGAGAAATCCAATCTAAATTTATTTAAGACTTCTTTTCTATTCACTCTCATTGATGCAAATTTTAGTATTCTAAAAAGAAAAATATTTACAGAATTGGAAAATTGGGATGTATAAATGTCTCAATTTTTTCTAACCAAAATACTAATAAGAATTAGTCAAAAATATGGAAAACTAAATTATTTGTTATATATATATATGTATGTATGTATGTATAATATTTTATGAACTAGACCATCAATGTTGGTTTATAGCCTTCAGATATCAGTTGCCTCAGTATGTTCCAGTCTTTCAGTCTACTTGAGCCACTCTAGCCTATAAAAATTTAATGTTCTCTGGAAGGTAGGAAACACAATGTTTGGTCTGGGATTTCCTGGAAATTCTTGGGTAGTCTGACATTTCTCTCAGTGTGACATTTCTTCCTGTTTGCAATAAATATTTATGATCTCCCTATGTTTTCTCTAAGTCTGCATTTACCCAAATGTGGAACACAGCCTTTACTTTCTCCAGATTATCACTTTCATGAGGCATCTGCATTTTGTAAACCTTTCCTGAAGATGGGGGTCCACAATAGTTCCTGCTTGACAGAACTGCTGAAAGCATGAAAGTGAAGTAATGAAAGTAAACTGCCTGGTATACGGTGAGCATCTAATAAGTGTTGGCTGTCATTACTTGTTTAGGGATAATGGTGTGGGGTTACATCACAGCAGATAGAATGAAATGAAATATTACACATGCCTGCTCCCTTTGAAACTCCTTTAGCCTGTTCAGCCGTGGGCATTTCTCACTGGGCCAAACTCAGTTCTGTAACATGCGTATTACCCTTTCAATCTAGTTGTCCGTATCTCAATTCCAGTTGCTTTCCTCAGGCAGGGGAACTTGATCTCTCTCAGTCTCTTGTGTTCAGTGGTCTCCTGGTAGCCCTGTCCTATGGTGTGGTGGAGAGGAGAGAGCACTGCGGGCAGATACGGGACCAGGAATCTTCTGATAGACCCTTTTATTTTTCCAAACTCAAGTGACTCATCAAGGAGGAATTGTTCCACTACCCTAACAGCTGAAGTCAGATGGGCCAATCAGTTGTGAGATTAAAGGTTAAACTGGCTCCCAGTTTACTTGACTTTACCCAAAACTGTTCCTAGTAATGAATCCATCACTAAAGCAAGGAGAGTCTGATATTGTGGAAAATTATTCTTAGAAAATGAGTATCAAATATTGCTTCACATTTAGTCTTCTAATAGGTGTCCAGTGTGTCTCTAATAAGGATATGTTTCATTGAATTTTGTTCCATTCTAATCCAGAACGGTTTCATCTTTAGACTTCTAACTTGATTATGTCTGCAAAGACCATTTTCCCAGATAAAGTCACATTCACAGATTTGAGGAGTTAGGATGTAGACACATCTTTTAGAGACCACATGTCAACCCCACTTCAGCTCAAGTGAATTGAGTTGGAAAAAAGCTTGTCTAGAGAAATTTCATTATTTGGGTAGGATTAAGGTAAGAATGAAGTAGTAAAAAATACTTGAAAATCTAATTATATTTTAGTATATATAATAATTTTAGCAAAGCTAACAACCTATTAAATACATTATAGTTATCAGCGAAATGAGAGTGGTACCCTGCAAACTTGAAAGCAACTTCTTTTTTCCCTTCAGATTCTTCTTTATATTATTATGTATGATTTTTGATATTGTTAGCAAATACTTTCATCACAGAGAAAATCAATTTGAGTCGAGCCCTTTTGATTGATCAAAAATTAAGTTTTAATTTATAAAATGCAAATCATAATTTTTAAAAGTTGAATGAAAAATTCCATAGTTGAAGAGTTAAAACTTACCTAAATTCACTTGGAAGCTTGCTTATTTCAGTACATATTCCTATAGGTTAATCTTATTCCATAATCTGGAATAAGTCCGAGTTGGATGATCTTAAGAGGGGATAAGAAGATGTTGAAGTCTTACCTCTTGACCTGCAATACCACAGGTATATTAGAAAATCAATAATTTTTAACCAATTGGCTAAGCAAACTAAAATTAATTACATTTTATACAAGAAGATAATTAACACAAGAAACATGAGGCCTTTCATACCTACTTGTCTAAGTTAGGTTTTGATCTAAAGAATTCTCAGCCACCTTCAGAGTAAATCAATAGACTATCATAATGTGTCTTTAATTATATCCATTAATATTCATTTGGGAAAAGTATATCAGTTTCTATTTCAAGAACAAAAGCTGGAATATTAAACCTTGCTTTTGCCTAGAACTTTCGGTTTGAGGCTAATCTTTTTAAGATCTTTCTCGGAGGAGATTAATGTGCTTTAACAGTTCAGTTATTGAAATGTTACAAATTCGCTCTATTGAATTATAAACTATTTCTCTAGGGAGTACCCTGTTTAGACCAAAAGTGAGTAATTTTAACTTGGTGTAATCATTGGCCTCATCATTTTCCTGAGACCACATCAGCATGGGGAGTTAACCACGGGATATGGATCAAAACAGCTGTCAGCATAGGATGTCAGTGGTTTCATGGCCACCAGGAGAATCACAGAACCCCAGTCCTGAACAGTAACATCAGCAGACTTTTATTTAGCACTTACTTTATTTCATCCACCGTCCGCTCTTTACGTGCATTGACTCATGTCATCCTTGTAACAGCCCTGCTATTGTCATGCCCATTTTATACATGAGAAACCAAGGAGCAGAGAGAATAAACAGCTTGTAGTGAGCAAGTGACAGAAGCAGGATAGGAACCAGGTGGTCTGGCTCCTGAGTCCTCTCAGCACCCCCCAAACTTGGTTCTTTACTTAATATTATACAGCAAACATTTTGCTAAACTGTAACATTATTTGAAAATGCTATTTACATAGTTGTACAACATTCTTAAGAGTATTACTATAATTTGTTTTACCATTTCTATATAATTTGAGTTTTCTGGTGTTTTCTTTTGCTATTATAAGTAATATTTATTGCAAATGTCAGACCAACTTTTTGATGATTTACTTTTGAAAAGTGGAATTGAGGGGAGAGGGTATCGCTCAGTGGTAGAGTGCATGCTTAGCATGCATGAGGCCCTAGGTTCAATCCCCAGTACCTCCATTAAAATAAGTAAGAAAATAAATAAACCTAGTTACTTCCCCAACAAAACAAAACAAAATTTTTTTAAATAATAAAAAAGTATAATTGACAAACACAAGAATATGAATTTTCTAAAGTACTTAATACATGATGCCAAAAGATTCCAGAAAGCTTATATGGATTTATATAACCCCAAGAGTACTAGCTAGATAACCAACAAAAAAAAGCAAAGACACAGAAGGGAAATGAAGTATGGTAAGTTTGGGAGAAGTGTGCGGAAGAGTGGCAGAGGCTGAAACCAAAGAAGTGGGCAGGACTCAGACCATGAAGGGTTCAGGGAAACCAGAGAACTAAGCAGTGCCAGGTTTCTGACTTGGATGTCACAATCCATCGGATTCCCAGAAGAGAAATCAGATGAAAGGAGTAGGCATCTGGGGAGGAAGATAATGAGATCAGTTTTAAATATATTAAATATAAACTGTGTGTGGCTTATCTAGATGGCTGTTTGAGATTTGCTGGCTAAGGACTGTGGGGCTTCAGACATAACAGAGTTGAGAGTTTGTATTACATATTAGGTCACTGAAAACTGGTTGCTCACTCAAAATGCACTGCATTGAAAAGAGAAGCCAGAGTGTAGAGTTTTGGAAACAACAGTATTAAGAAGTCTTGTAATCTAGCTTCTCTAAACCAAAACTTTTTGAACTATAACTAACTAGTTTTGTGATAACTAGCACTAATCATATAATCACATCATGGTTCTGAATTTGTGGAGCAATAACGCCCAATTTCCTACTGACTCATGTATATATCAGATGGATTTAAAATGCTGTAAGAGAGAGACCCAGTAATTTTGCCTTTAAAATACACATTTAGGATTTAAGAAATGTAACTTTGCTCTAAAAAGGAAAAAAATTTATAATAAATTAGAATAGTAACATGATACAGACACTCAGCTCAAGAACCAGGAATTTGGAGTAATTATCAAATTTTAGAAATTAGTATAATTTTGCTATTCTCTAGCCAGCAGACAATCATAAGAAAAGCCCTCCCCCATCCCCTCCCCCATTCTAAAAGCCATGTTCTCTCCAGGAAGAGCCCATCTGAATGATGTAGATTTGTATACTTTGCCACCTTGTGGTCATTGTGGTTATTTGCATGACTCCATCTGTACTGTGGCTTGAAGATTTTCCTGTTAAAATGGATAGCTATACTTACATATTTAATAAATGTCAGCAAAAATATACCAGAATAAATTTGAACTACCTTGACAAAAAGGTGACTATGTCCAAGATAATACCTTATCAGATGAGTTTATTATGGGCTGATATGTCTGCTTGATAACCTTTTCTGGCTCTTTCTTGAATATTTTTCCACATGTTGCTGCATTAGTAATTTTGACACAGGATAAATGTTAATAAAAATAAGAAAGGGGTTGTTACTCTTGACAATATTGGCATAATCTCTTCTTTTCACATTCTAGTAAGGTGTTAAACAGAAAATAAAACTCATGACATCAAACTACAGAGCATATATATGAATAAAGAAGACCATCTTCTGTAAAAACTCAAACCAAAGCATCCATGAACACTTAGGCTGAGCTCTTGTTTCTATATTTCTTAGTTTAATCTCTAAGAAACAAATGTGCTAGAGAAATGAATTTTTTAAATGTTTTTGAGAGGTTCAGTAGCTATTGCCAGATAACTAGCGTGGTACAGATGCATTTTTAAGAGGTTTGGGTCACTTACAAGATAATAATTACTGCATATTTCATTATAATTTTGTTTCATCTTCTGACTCCTTTTCACGTGAGATTTGATTTTCCTATGTTTTTAATCTCCAGAAAATTCAAACATTTGTTTTGGAAGCTGCTCAGAGAACATTATCTTGGTTTTCATGCTCTTTCTTAGACATAAACAGAGGTTTTGCCATTTCAAGTCACATGTTCTCTGTATCTTGAGGCAATAAACTGGGAGATGTTATTTAAATGTAGTGAGCTGAACAGCTGGGCTAAATTTCCTTAATTTTTTTTTTCCTTTAAAAAAATCTATCCACTTTTGACTCATTTAAGCTTTGATGATAGTTAATAGGCTGCATATTTACTCATGTTATTCAGCTGAATGGACTTGCCCAAAGTTACAGCAGTAGTTGGGAGCCCTGTACAAAACTCTTGAGAACACATAGCCTTGACTGTAAGAGAAAAGATGGGGAGAAATGATTATTGTCATCTCACTTTTCCTAGAAAGCCAACCCAAATTATAGATGTTCTTGATGTTAGGTCCACAGTGCCCATTCTTCATGATGAGATTGCAAGAATTATTTTGTCCAATAAAGGACAAGTCCCTCCAGAACCATCAAGTAGCCTGGACACACAGGCTTCTGTCACATATTTGTTCTCAGTTACCCGCTAGATTTAACTGGAATGAGGAAGGAGATTTCTTAGAGAAGGACTGCTCTCTGCTATGTATTGCAACAAATTGAGTGCCTTGTTCAACTCTGAATTGGGGAGCTTGGGTTTTACCTCAAAGATTAAGAGACTTAATTTATTCAGTGAGGATGGTCATGGCAGGAAATCACTGACAAACATAAAAAAAAAGGAATAAAAGAAATCACTTTTGTTCACATCCCAAGGAGTTTTTGGGGGAGAGGGGAGATGTAGTTAGATTTGTTTATTTATTTTTAGAGGAGGTGCTGGGGATTGAACTCAGGGCCTCGTGCGTGCTAAGCATGCGCTCTACCACTTGAGCTATACCCTCCCCCTCCAAGGAGCTTTGATGCAAAATTAGTGGCTCCATTCGCAAGCAAGTCACAATATATATGATATAATAAAGGAATGGTTTAAGTTTTTAAAAAAGTCAGTTCAAATGAAAGCTGGATTTAAATCTCAGCTCATCAATTCCCTGTTTAGTAAAGTTACTAATGTCTCCAAGTCTCAGCCTCCTCCATACATAGTATAAAAATAATTACACTTGCCTCAGGTGAATTCATGAACATTAAATAGAAAAATACTAAAAGTTACACAAATGTGTAAGTCAGGATAGCATAGACTATGCTGTGGTAACAAATAAACCCCCAAATCTCAGGGGCTTATTTCAGTAAGCTCGTATTACAGTCTGATGCAAATCTGGTGAGGTCCAGAGATCCTGGGTTTCTAGCAGCAAGAGTGGGAGAGAACACACAATAGGAATCACACCCAAGTTTTGCTGCCCAGGACAGGAAGTGACCCATCACTTCTCCTAAATTTGATTGCTGAGAGGTAGTCACATGATCTTACGTAGCCACATGGGAGCTGAGATTGTAGATGAGCATATGGATATACTGCAAAAACTAATGGCCTCTTACTACAAGCAATGCAGTTTTATTGGAAAATTAGAGAATACAGATGTACATAAAGAAAAAATTTATATTAAGCATTATCCCATTGTCTTTCCAAAATTTCAGTGTCCTTTCAAACTTTTGTAAACATACGCATTTTCATATAATTTTTAATGAGCTCACATTTTCAGTAAATTCTGTTTCCTTCTTCTTTAGAGACTTTATCCATTTCCCTTCTGTGCAAGAAAAACATGCAAATTGGGAACAAGAATGACACTGTTGGGATAAACTTAAATCTGTTCTAATTTCCTTAAAATGCACATGAATTACACATTTCTATATTTATTGGAAACAGATTACTTGTGGTAGAATGTTTTCCCAAGACCATGAAACAATGTGTCCTGATGCAGAGGGTGAAAAACCTCTCTTGTAGAACTTGCCAGAAGAGTCAGGTGGTGATGGAAGAAGTCATTAAACCTGGAACATATTTCCCTGGCTTCCCATATTCTACCTTAATTTTCCGTGACAAAGAAGTGTGTGTGATTTTTCATTGTTTCCTAATGATGTTTGTATGTGCAGTAAGTCAAATTGCAGCATTCAATAAATCGTACAAATTCAAAACAAATTACACTGCACACAAGTTTATTTTTCTTTCTCTGGTCTCACTTCAAATCAGGTAGCTATTATAAATATTACAAAACAAACACTTTATTTTAGAAAATTACAGAAAATAGCATCACCTGTTACACTGTTACAGAACTATGTGGCTATTTGGAAACCCTAAATCAAAACTCCTGAGAACAAATATCCAAATGGACGCAGGAGAAGACTGATTTTTAAAAGTTATCTTTTCTAATTTTTAATACTCAGGAAGCTATTTTGTTATAAATTAAGCATGGCAATAGAGATGTACAGACAAACAAGGCAAGACAGTATAGTCCTGCCACCAGGACAGTGACGATGATTGTTAAGTGGTTATAGCAGTTCATTTTTTTTTTTTGTAAAAAATAATTAAGTCCTGAATGACATTCTTAGAGCTTATAAAATATATTATTGGTAGTCTGGTGAATACACTTATCAGAATTAACTTAAATATTCTTTCCTGAATTTAATTTAGGGTAGTAACAGTGATAGATGCCATTGGTTATCTGTCTGCTACACACCACACACTCTGCTGGAAGCTGGTTTGTGCTCTACCTTGTGTATTTACATATGAAACCAAAATATAGCTTTTAGCTTTATTTTACAAAGAAAACTGAAGATCAAAGAAGTTATATAAAGAATGGTAGAACCAGGCTTGGAATTCAGGTCTTTTTGCTTCCAAAATTCTTCCTCATCACATGGTTTCCCAATGAACATTTTCAGGTCCTATTCTAGATGTGTGGTAATTCTTGACTTAGAGAGAGAGAGAGAAAGAGAGTATACTTCTAAATTATCTAACACATGCACCTTGTCTTGCAGATATGACAACTGAGGTCACGTGAGGTTTCCTCAATATATCACAACTACATACCAGCAGAGCTAGACCTAAATTCTGAATTTACAGATTCTCCATACAGTGTTCCCTCATGGTTATTCCAAACTAGAGACATCAAGCAACTGAAGACTAGAACATTGGGAGTTGGAATGCAGGACCAAGCCACTTGTGGAATGGCCACAGAGGGAGGGGAGATCTGAAAGGCTCAGAGAAAAGCAGAAAAATCGAGACAGACTGAGAGTGAGGTATGGGCACAAACCTATCTGACTGCTGAGACTCTGAAATGAGGCAAAAAGGAGAGAAGCTCACAGTCTGGAAACAGGAAGATGAGGAAGAGGGCTCATCTTTGCCAGACATGAGGGACCATCATGTTTATCTGTTGATCTTGAAAACTTGCCGAAATATCCTCTCTCCCTTGAAATCTATGAAAATTGCATTCCCCCAGATGGAGATGAACAGTCCTGCCTTCTGGTCTTCCCTCCGCCCTGTCCTGTGCCTTCTGCAACCACAGCACCGCTGGGATGCTTCGTCCTTACATATTTACCTCCCTCCCCGCTCTGTTGGTTTCTAAGCTACATCCCCCGCACCTTTGCACTGTCACCCCTTATGTGAGGTTTGATGCTCAGGCTCAGAAGGAAGCAGAACAGCCAGGACAGAAAGGGAGACAGATATTATAGAGGAGAGAGAGCGTGCGTTCAAAGGCAAGGAGAGGAGCTTCAGACCCATTTTATTCCCCCATGAGACTCATCTGTATAACAACCCCCATTCTGGATTCTTGACATTTCTTCTCTAATTTTATTATTTTTTTTCTTTGCTAACACCCCACTATGACCAACTTTTTGTTTTCCTTTTTAGCTACCTTGAATGGATCTCTCTGTTACTTGAGCCCAAAGAACCTTGACTAGAATAAGGAGCCTTTGAGAGGTAACCATCTGGTTTGAAAATGTTTGTGATTATTGGTCTCTGAACACTCCATGAGGCAAGACCCTTCACTTGGGAATCTGAGAGATAGTTGAACATTTTTGAAAGCTGATAACAATGTACAAATTTAAAGAGACATTCATTATGATTTATCTGGAATGAGTAATATGTTATCTCATTAACATTCTACAATCCCTAGGTGGTAATTAACGATGTTAGAGGAGCTGGAAGAACAGTGCCTATTTGACCTGGCACGGTTTTGATTAACTTGTTAATGAAAATACTTCAGTGTTCAGTGGTATACAAGAGCAGGATAAGATACTGTGCTTGAAAGTTAAGGATTGCCAGTTCCAGATACTAAGTCCTTGCTTTGCTAGAATGAATGACTCAGTAAGGAATGTAGAAGCTTCCCTAGTTCTAGTTGTGTTGACAGGAGGCACCCAAAGCCCAGGCTGGAGGCGTTGCCTTTCACCACGAAGGGTTAGTATGAATCACGGTCTGGAATTAAAGGCAAAATTTTTTAGTGAAAGATAAAGGTTTCTGGGACCAGGCAAAAATTGCGTCCTGCCATCACAATTGGGGATATGTTTTAGGGGATTTGGAATAAACTAGTGATAAGAATTTCCAAAAGGAGGTGGGAAAGGATAAATTGGGAATTCAAAAATTGCACCTCTTGGGGAGTAATGGAAATGTTAGCTATCTTGATTGTGGTGGTGAGTTCATGGATGTATATATCCATCAAAATTCATCAAATTGTACATCTGGTATATGTGTAGTTTATTGCACAGAAACCATACCACAATAAAGGGGTTAAAAAAAAGAATTCCTAAACTCAGGGAAACAATAAACTCACAGTCTATATCTGTAGGAAGCCTATCATGTAACTTAAACAGCTAGAATTAACACGGAAAGATGGACAAGGGAGAGAACACTAGAGAAAGAAGACATTAAGAGAGGGTAAGAGAATTGGAAAGAAACAGATACAAAAAGCCAAGATAAATGGGCAAGTAGCTACTCCAGTTCGTGAAGAGGTTCCTGCAGGGAACCAACCGTAGGTCACATATACTTAGCTGTACTTCATTCTGATAAGCCCACTATAGCACTAAAATAAGAATATGCTTTTCTTGAGCTGATTTACCTGGAGCTGATTAACCTCCAGCTCAGGCTTTGAGCTCATCCTGTCATCTATGCAACCACACACACACACACACACACACGTACACGTGCGTGCACCTTGATATATGAATTAATTTTCTCAGTGTTTCAAGAAAATCTATTGTGTGCAACAAAGTAGTGTATTCTCTGTAAAGAGTATGAAGATAAACAAAACAGGAGTTGAATTCTGCCTGGTGTGATGTGATATAACCAAGATAATACTAAAGAGTGTATTTGTTCTTTTATGTATTTTTTGAAAGGCAGCATTTACAGAGAGCCTGTGTTCTCTGAGGATTTATCGCAGAGCAGTGAAGAGACCTAATTCTCAACCTGGAGAAGTTTAAGTCCAGCAGTGGAGGTTTATGGTCAGGTAAACCCAGAGGCATAATGCTTTGGACTAGAAATCTCTCTGCCATTGAGTCACTCCATCAACGTTGCAGGCTGTTGGAGCTGGTAATTTCTGCTATTGGTGTCAGTATTCCGTATGGTCCCTTCTTATCATGATATTGTCAGAATTCTTACTCCTTAGTTATGAAAGAATCTATTACCCACCTGAATTCTTTACCGTGAGATTCTGTTTTGTTTGTGAACAAAAATGATTTACTTGCTGTCTTAGCTAACAAAATACCATAGACTGGGTGATTTAATCAACAGAAATTTCTCTCTCACAGTCCTGACGACTGGGAAGTCCAAGATCAAGGTGCCAGGAGGCTTGGTTCCAGGTGAGAATCCTTTTCTTGTTTGTCGATGACCATTGCCTTCTTGCTGTATCCCCACGTGGTGGAGAGAGCTGTGAGCTCTTCATCTCCTTATGAGGACACCAGTCCCATCCTGGGGGCTCCACTGCTGGGACTTCATTCAAACCTAACTACTTCCAAACACCATCACATTGGTGATTAAGGCTTCAACAGGTAATTTGGGAGGTTCTGGGGGACACCAACATTGAATTCATAGCATGTACACAGCATCACCTTTAAAAAGGGCATTAGTTAAGGATGAACCGAGTGTCAGGTTTCTAGGTAAAATTCTAGCTAAAATATGAAATGCAAACGTGTTCTTTTGCCCAATTGAGATAAATGTACTCGAATCCTCTGTCCAGAAATCTAATCAAATGGAGAGTTCTAACTCTGGCCAAGTTTTCTAAAACATTCAAAACACTCTGTTGACCTACGTCGTTGTACATTGTTAGCAGCTGAAAACAGAACATCGCAATGCGCTAAAGCTAGAGTTACAACATGTTTGGAAATAGTTCCAGGGACCTAACTATGCTCAAACAACTCAGGGAAGTGTTACGTCCTGCACATATTTATTGCACATCTTGCAGGCACCGTGCTAGATAGTGAGGACTCAGCCCTCAAATAGATTCTAATCCAGAAGTTTAAAAAAAACAGACAGCAGGTCAAAACTCTGAGAGATATGTCGTATTATAGTTTTCCACAGAAGTCTGATTCTGGATGGGAACTGAGGCAGCTGGCCCAGCCCTTCACTGTGTAGATGAAGCTGAAGTTCTGAGAAAGTCACTCAGTGAGACTCAGAAAGACTAGAACCCCAGGCTTCTGACATTCCCGTGAGCATCGCTTACTTGTTATAGTGGGTGCGTGGTGCATATCCTCAATTCCTATATTGATTTGTTTGGGGGGCCCACTTAAATGCTTAGTTTGCTTGTTTGGTCGTTTGTTTTGTATAGGAGTCAAGGCCTAACTACAAAGACTATGATAACCATCCAAATCGACAAATGCACAAAACGATGCTGGGAAATTTTTACATTACCAATTTGGGAGTTATTCTTAATGTCCCCAATATTGTTTGATTTCTAACTCCTAGAAGGAAGGAAGTCACAGAAGCAGATATGCTCATGACATATGACACAAGGTTAGTGTGAAGTACCATGCTGTTAGATTAATTAATTAATATTTAAACTGGGGGCAGGGAGATGCGAAGCTGAGGTTTCAGAAAGAAGTAACAGTAAGTCGTTCTGAAAAGGAGTTTACCTCATAGTAAGTGTATCTACCTGAGTTATCAATGACTGAAAAAAGCCCTTCCTATGGAAGCACAAATCTTATGTATAGTAGCCTTGACAAGCAAAATTCTAGTAAGATTTTCAAGGAAAATGACATGACAAATGACTGAAAAATGGAGGGTATGACACAAAGGTTAATACAGTGTTCTTGCTTTTTGTGTCTTTGGATTTCGGACACACTCAGATTGAACCTCCACTATTGAAAAGAAACCTTGGTCTCTTCAAAGATGCCACGGGACCTCAGTCACCCTTGTTCCATCTGCATGTAACTTTGTCCTGGCCACAGGCTCCTGCACAAAGTCATGCCTGCTTCTGCAGCGGCTCCAGGAGAAACTCAGGGAGGCTGCTAATAATTGACATCATCACTAGCTCCTCCATGGTCACAGAATTTCAAACCCTCTTTTTTTTTCCTTTTAAAAGTTTCTTATTTTTTTCCTCTTTATTTTCTTTTAAAACTCTAATGAGTTTCAGAGACACAGTCTGGAAGAAGATTATTCATTCATATGAGATCCCTTAAACCTCTCCTTTTGAAACAAACAAAAAAGAAGTCTCCAAATATACAGAACATTAATATTTGTTGAAAAGGCTTGGGTTTATTTAAAAAAAAAGGGCCCAAATTTCCCACAGGTGCGGCCAACTGTGCAGCACAAAAACTGTCAATTATTTGAAAGAATACTCTGCACGTACACAAGATTCAGAGACTAAATAATAATAATAATTAAAAAGTTCCCAACCAGGGTGAGTGCTGGTGCTGGACATTTTCCATCTGTCCTTCCAGGTCCACTCTGCTGCTCCTGGCCGCTGCTCTGTCTCCAGAGCGAAGCTATGTGCGCTGCCTCCCCTGGACTTCCCTCCCTCTGGCTTCACTAGGCTTCAGCCAGTGGAAGGAAAGAGCAGGAGGATGAAGGAGGAAACTGGAATTTTGGTGAAACCACCTCTCCCCTTTCCCTCAGGAGGCAGGGGTGGTAAGAGCTCCCCCTATTGTCAGCCCCAGGGTGCTGCACTGTCATTTGGGTTTCTGTTCTCTTGGCAGATACGAAAAAACTTAAGCAAACAAAACAAAACAAAACGGTCTAATTAAACTCAGTGATGTTTAGAATTTCTGTCTTCTCTGCCCAGTGCCTAGAAGAGTACCTGGTAAATAATAGGCACTCAGCACATGTTTGTTGAATAAACAGTTCTACACATATACCCTTTATGAAAATTACCATTGTTAAGAGGATAAAAATAATATTTATGATTTGTCAACAAAGAAATTAGAAACAAATTCCTCCATGCCTACCAGAAAACCCCCAGTCACCTCCATTTTTATTATATGGACTTGATTTTTGCTACAAATAGGTAAACAAAAAGATATCACAGAATGCGAGTGACCCTGGCAGTGCCCTGATGATAATTACTAGAGGAAGATGCTCGCTGCTGAAGACAGAGCTTGTAGGCAGGAGATAGCTTATGCTTTCTCTTTCAACTCCCCCAAAATAAACGTGCACAGCTGAATAGTCCCTTATGTAATAAATGCTTATCTAGTCTCGACTGGGTAGTCTGCTCTTGAGGCTGGAAGTACAATGGTGAATAAACTGGACCCTACATTTCCCCACCCTATCGAAATGTGATGGTGTAAGGGTAGGGTAGATGGGTAGTGAGTGTTATGGGAGCCCAAGGAAAGGTTGTCTGATCCTTGTCTTAAAGCTTAACAGGAGAGCTGAGAGATCAGGTGACGGGGGCAGGGCAATGCAGGAGGATAGCGTGTCCCAGGCACAGGGGGCAAGAGCGGGCACGAAGGTGTGGGGAGTGAAAGGCTGGCTACTCAGGCAACTGGAAGAAGCTATCGTGGCCGGAGCAGAGTGAGAAACGAGGGTGGAGAAGTAGGTGTCAGGCTACGGGAGACTTTCTGTAAGATTTAAGGAGTTGTAGCTATAAACCAGCTAAGTGCTCACAGAAGGAGGGGGGAGTAAGGAAAATGATTATTCTTTCCATATTCTCCAAAATATAAATACACATCCCATTTTATGTCTCCCAGTTGGAAGGAGGTTAAGGATTCCCAGAGTTACTGTAAAGCAGTGGTTTTCTAGTTGGTATTAACCCATATTCTTTGATTTGCTTAGGTAACGACTGTAAAGCAGCTAACGGTTATTGCGTGTTTCCTGTGTTACAGGCAGTGTTCTAAGAATGTTTAGGCATGATTTCCTTTAACACTCACGATAACTGGATAGGGAACCTCATGAAGTAGTTATTGTTAGTATCTGAAATTTACAGATTAGGAAGAAAAGGCAACGTGTTAAGTGAAGTTAAGTGACTTGCTCAAGGTCACACAGACAGTAAAAATGAAGATTTAAAAAGGGGGTGGGGGTAGTTCCTTTCTTTTTTTAACCTCTTATAGAAGGTGGGCTGGGTATTGATATTGAACATGAAGAATAAGGACTATCCTGCTAAGTTTGCTTTATGGTGAGGCAACAAATTGTATATACACTTATACTGTGGCAAAGAGAATGAGCTTAGTGAATGGGTAAATTAAGACTTTATCTGTTGAAAAGTATGTAATCACAAACACAGCAATTAAACTGCTTTTCTAAGGATAAAATTGAACACAATTTCATATAGTCAGGGCAACCATGGAAACTAAAAAATGAAACTTGAATCCAAACAGATCAGAAAATAGTACGTCAAGGCACTGTCTGGTGCCTCCATTTTCCTCACGTTAGAATAGAGTGACATTTCATATTACTATATTGGAGTGTTTAGGAATGATGCGCTGGAAAGCTATTTGAAAAGTCTGTATGATAATTTTATAATTTGAATCAAATAACGAAGTCTTTAGTTTTAATACTCGGGTACCATTTAATCTTTAAGAAAAATGTCTTTGGTTGTTTGACGCCAGCAGATGGCGCCCTAACAAAGTAATTTGTGTGCCACAGGTGAACTTTTGACTGTCCTCTGTACAGACAGGAACACGCAAGAGCAGCTCACTGTATCAGGACATGCAGGGTAGAAAAGAGAGAAGCTAAAGGTAAGACTTAATCTTTTTGAACCTGATAACTTTTATTTGGGGAGGCAAAAGCAGAAAGAACACTTTTTATTATTCTTTATTGTGTGAATACCTAGCTAGTTGGAATCATTGCTGTAAGAAACCCCTCTATAAATCTGCATTAAAAATCCAGCTATAATAGGTAATGGAAAGGAGTAAAATGGACTGATACATATTTTCTAGCCAAAAAAAAAAACCCAACAATGTCGACAGTCTAGTGTCGACTGTCAGAGGTGACACTAGAATTTTGTTTGGTTTCGTTTTACAGTTTAGTTGAGAAGAACTTAAACAGAACTCTGCACAGAACCTACTTGCCACGTGTGATTCCCATTTCAATTCCAGGCTTATTCATTTTGGATGGCTCCTTTGCTATTCATGTGTTACCTGTTATTTTTAAAGCAAGTACAGGGTATCATGTCAAAATCAAGATAAAGGTATCTGTAAGGGATGAGTATCTTCCTGTTTTGGAAGGAGTCAGGGTTCCCACTTTTTCTTTCTTCTTTCTCTTGTCACCTTTTCACTTAATGCCGGGTATTTGATTCAAGGAATCCACCAAATTTACAGTTTGCCTCTCATTTTCTTGTCTCTGAAAAGAGTAACAACCCACGTTATTAGCCATTTTACTAAGCCTTCTCATCTGTGTCAGTTTCCTACCAAATAATTCTTTCTTCTGCAAAGACATCGGTTTATAATGCACTTTGCAAGAAGCTGTAATAAAAGAATCAAACTTTGGTATGAAAACCACACTGGCTCCAAGAGCATCCAAGATCCTCTCTCCAAGGTGGAAACTCCAGCTCTGAGGCAGCAGCAGCACTGTATGATCAGGACGCATCCACTTTCCTTGTACTTTTGAGGAGGAGGAAAGACATGGAGGTTGTGTGGGGCTGACATCAGAGCAGGCACAGGAAGACGTGGCCATTTGGTCAGCGAGGGTCTGGAAGAACTGCAGCTTCCTGGCTGTTCCTCTGCCTCTTAGGTCTTGCTCAAGAAAACTTGCTGTTGAAACTAAATATGTAATTCCATCCTCTTTATGACCTTGCGTGAGAAGAGAGAAGGGCTGATAGACTGCCCGATTAGTTATGTTAGGGATAGGAGCGTCGGGGAAGAAACTAGGGTGACTGGCTTCCTGAGAAGACAGAACGGTTGCTGGAGACAAAGCCCTCCACCGTGAAAATACAAGCTCACGTCCGCCCACGCCTTGGCCAATAGGTGAAGCCAGCGCTTGGAAGGTGAAGTTCATGTGGAAGGGAATGAAGCTCTGTGAATTAACAGCCTGACTTGTGACCATTACTCAGCTGCAGATCATAATGGTTAACATTTATTGAACCCAAACTATGGCTTGAGGACTCTTCTAAGCATTTTACATTACTTAATTGATGAATTAATTAAATGGCTTATTACAATCCTATGATCTCAGTGCTATTGTAGATATGTTTAAAAGTTGAGGATCTGCAGCCCAAACAGCTTTACCCAGCATCACTCAGGTGGTCTGGGTCCACTTTTAACTGCTAATCCACACCACCTCTCTAATTATTTTCTATGAAACTTTTG